GTTCTGCTTTTATTTATTTATTTAATGTTTATTTATTTTTGAGAGAGACAGAGACAGAATGCGAGTGGGTTAGGGGCAGAGAGAGAGGGAGAGACAGAATCCGAAGCAGGCTCCAGGCTCCGAGCCGTCAGCACAGAGCCCGACACGGGGCTCGAACTCACGAGCCGTAAGATCATGACCTGAGCCGAAGTCGGACGCTCAACCGACTGAGCCACCCAGGCGCCCCTTTAGTTCTGCTTTTAGAGCCCCGAGCCCCCAGCCCCCTCCCAACCCTCCACATCCACTCCGGTTATTTCCAAAAGGACCCAGGAGTTCCTCGCTTATTCTCAGGAGCAAGGAAACTCCTATCCTTCCAGAAAGGGCCTTGCAGGCTGAGGAATAGAGCCCAGCTGGGACGGACCAAAGAGATCCTAGGGAGCTCCAGTTCATTCTCCCCAGAGCGGCCAGAGGACCTGACGACTGCTGCTCCCCCGCTGAGACGGCAGACCTCTCGGACTGTCGCCCTGTTCCTGAAGGTCGCTAGCCTTCCACTGCCCTGCGCGGTCTCCCTTCTGCCTCTCCCCGCAGCCTGGTGATGCTTCCGCTTGTCAAGTAAACCAAATCGCTTCACCAGCTTGGCGCTGTTGTTCCCTCAGACCAGAACGCTTCCCACCCAGCCCTTCCCCGCTGCACTCCTCCTTCAGGGCTCAGCTTCCACAGGATTCCACAGGATTCCCTGACCCCCTTGATTACTTCAGATCCCCCTCCCACTCTGTGTTGTCTTGGTACCCGTAATTATCCTTCTAGCACGTACCGCCATTCGAGTGGGATGTGATTGCATATCCGTGAAGTTGTCTGATGTTTCCCCCACTCCCCGAGTGGGATGGCGCCTTCCTGAGGGAGGGACCACGTCTGCCTGTTGGTTATTGAAGCCCCAGCACCGACCACAGTGCCTTGCACACAGTAGGTACCCAACATTCAACAAGTGAATCAAAAGCAGCTTAGTAAAGCAGCCATGGAGAGTGTGCGTGAAGAAATAATGGAAGAAAGCACTGGAAAATGACGCCAGGACGGATGACGAAGCGCTGTGTGTGCCAGGTTAAGAAGTTTGGACTTCAGTTTGAAGAGAATGCAAGTCACTAAAAGTTTTAAGCCACGTGAGTGGCTTTTTGAATGTGTTGTAGAAAAATTACTGATTTCTATGGTGGGGGGAGTGTGGAGGA